CCAAGAAATACAAAGAAAGTATATAAGATATATCATATCATCCTGCAGAAAAAGAAACATTTATCAGCAAAGAGAAGCGCCCAGCTGCAATTCCTGATGTGTTCATGCTGCGTGTGAAACACGGCTCTTCCAGTTTGGCTTCAAAACAGGAGGAGCCGGTGCGTGGACAGTGGTTGCGGCAGCGGGGAGGATAGAATCCCTGCACTTCCACACAAAGGATCGCGTCCTGGGCACCATCTAACAAGGGTACCTGCTCCGAAGTGGTATCAGGGTTGCCTTGGTGAATCCTGCACACGTTCCCTTTCTGATGTTTCTTATCCTGGATGGGTATTTATAGGTTTGAATTTTGCTACCTACTGGTGTTAGCAAATGCTTTACAAATATTCCCACTTTGAAAAGGCTGCTTTCCCCCACCACCCCCTTGGCTTGTGCCCAAGCATGGGAGTTTTCAGTCCGAACCTAACTGTCTTTGCCAAAATTAAAGGATGTACGCTGAAAGAAAATCAACCTTAAACCTGAAATTATTTCAGCTTGACTGTGCAACCTTGGCTGTGGTTCTGTGACAATAAAGTGATAGGGCAAGGTTGGGGGTATTGGGAAAAACAGAATAAATAAAGTCATGGGGCCAGCCCAGTGGGTGCGTTTCTACAGCCTCTCCCTGGACTCAGACCGAATGCAAACAGAGTTTTAATTTTATATAAAAGGCAGGATCTGCTCCCCTTGTCTACATGGAGAAATCTGTATTTGGAAGGTCAGCTACTGCAGCAGTACGTGCTTGAGTCCGCAGCCAGCCTGGGTCAGAGCCTTGGAGGAGCGGGTTCCCTACCCCTTGATAACCCTTTTCAGCGAAGCCCAGCGATGACATCTCATTGCCAAGACCTGTCCCGCATTAAAGGAAAGGCAGAGGATGGGAGGGCAGAGCCTGTGAGACTCGTGCATTGCTCTAGGGGCAGAAATGCTGTGGGGAAAGCACGTTAAACTCACAAAGATGGGGAGAGAGGGTAAATTGGAAGGGAGTGAAATACTGCCCAGAAAAAGCAAACACATCGTTAAGAGAGCAAACATGGAAATCAAATCTTTTCTTTCCTCCCTTTGTGCTCAAATCCCTTTGGTGTCCTCTGCAGGCTCCCAGGCGGGCACCAGCCAGCGTGTTGCTGTGCCCAGTTGACCTGTGCCAGACCTTTTCCAACCACCAGTCATGGCATCCTACGAGAAGCTGGTACGAACCCAAGCTAGCTTGTCTGTTCGGCAGCAGCAAATTGCTTGTTCAGCCCAAGGCCTTCGATCTAGCATCGCTGTACCCAGCAAGGGCTCTTCTGTGCCGCCCCGCAGAGCCCAGCTCTCCGCCAAACCCTGGGGAGAGGAGCCCGGGGACACCAACGGCAGAGAGGTGCCATCAGCCACCCGCTCTGCTCAGAGACTCCTCCCGAGCGGTGCAAACCGTGTATTTATATCCCACCAGGACCTCACACTTGTCGATCGTAACTCCTACTTCAACTTACATTTAGAGACATTTCCCACCTTCTCCATCTCTTCAGCGAGCTATCCTCCTACCAGCTCAACTTCGCTGTCAGGTAAGCCTGGATTGCCACCGCATCGCCTGGATCTCTCGCCTCTCCCCTGTTGCCTGCTTCACTAGGGGATAGAAATTGGCCATACCCTGAGGATTTTGTGACTGTTATAATTGCAAACATAGAAAACTCGATTCTGACGTATGTGCTTAGAGGAGGCTGCAGCAGGTGGCAAAGAGATGTGACATAAGTAATAGGGCTTGTTTGGGAGGATGGAGAGGGAAAGTCTTTTCATGACATAGTTTTTGTGATTGTCCTCCTGTGTGCTAAAAACGAAGGTAAGGAGAGGAGCGGTCGTGCCTGGATGTGGAAAAAAAGATGCTTGCGCTTAGGTGAACACTAAATCAGCGAAAAATTATGAGGGACGCTGTTGTTCCTTAGATGCGGACCAAAGGAGTAACCGTGCCTGCTGGTGGCCTCGGGATGAAGTTCTGCCATGATTTACCTCCTCATAACACGATCGCAGGTGAGGTGGGTGTCAAGGGTTGGGGACCCAGCAACTTCTGCCTTCGTGAATATACGCTAATGCACCCAAAAGAGCCAAATAGGCAGCTGAGCTGGGATAAAGCTCTGCGTGCCATGGAGAGCAAGGAACTAGTGGTAAAACCTTTGCAAAATATCAGGCTGCAAAATGTACAGGGAAGCTGGGGGAGAGCAGGGAGACGAGACTTCCCAGATAACCCTGGGGAGTTTATTTCTCTAGCACTGGAGAGCCAGGTTACAAGGAGAGAAAATAGTTTTCTAGGAGTAACTGTAGAGGCTTTCCCCTGGATTTAAATGTGGGATAAGGAAAAAAAAGCTGTATTCAAGAGTGCAGTACAATTGTATCTAATCAGAAAGAAGATTTTAAAATGAAAGGAATTTAAGTATCTTAGTTTTTCTTTTTTTATTATACTTAATAGTGAGATGAGAAGGAGTTGCCTCAGCAGCCTGATGATACAGGCTAAGACAGGAGGCACAAACCACATTTGGGTGCACACAACAAATCATCACCATGGGGTTTTTTGGGAAAGCTTCTGCCTTCTCCTGCATTCAGATGAATTCTGGTACCTCTCCTGCTCTGCTTCACCAGCCTGGGACTTCTCCTGGCAAGGACCATTGCAGCTGCCTCGCAAAGCCCCCTCGTTCCTACGACTGCAGGTATCCCAGTCCATTTTGAAGTGTAGCGTGTGTTTGCCTAGATCTCTTTGGGAAAATCAGATTCAAAGGAAATCTGTATTCATACAAGGTTCTACTAAGGAGAAGAAAGAAAAATGGGTTTCTTTTTGGAGTTGTACAGTGCATATGACTGAGCAACTTTGCCATCCGTGCAATTAGAGCAGCGTAATGCTAACCCACCTCGTGGGGGGTGGCAAGGTTTAATCCTTTAAATGTGGTAAAGCACTTTAGATGAAAGGCTTTATATAATGATAAAAGAGCATTTGAATTCTTACTTAATAAATACTTGGCGCTCTCAAGTGCTATAACTCATCGCAGCAGGTTTCCCTGAATGTCACCTCTTCCTGCCCAAGGAGGAGCTTGCTCAGCTCTTACCATAAGCTGAATTTCAGCAGCTCAAAGAACAAAGGGCAGAAGATGCATGGACAGGCAGCGCTGCCCTTACGTAGCTCAGAAAAAAGTAATGTGTGTTTCCCAGCAAGCAGCTTTCGGGTTCTAAGCGTTAAAGAAGGAAACGTTTGGGGGATTTGATGGGATTTCATCAATCATAAGATGAGCGTTTGAATCTCCGGGGGAGTTCTGAAGAGCTTGGGAAGAAGAGATCTGGTGCCAAGGGGCACCCTGGCAGCGGCTGTGGGTGGGAGCTCGCACCCGGCAGTGCTCAGGGGCCCCTGTTTGCTGAAGCTCACAAAAAATGAAGTGCAAAAGAAACGTTGCAACTTTTGTCCATTTTAGAAGCCAATAGGTTGTAATAAAGTGCTGGCAAAGGGGCGGATGGGAATGGAGCCCAAGAAAGTGCTGTGGTGATATGCTGTTGCTGTGAGTCTCTGGAATCCCTGTTAATGCAGAGAAAAGTGGTGACAGTGTGTCTAGGGGATTTGGCTTTCTTAGCCCCTGGATTCAAATAACACCTAGCAAAAGAAAACACTTTCAAGAGGAGCAATCGAACAGGTGACAAGAGAATTTTCACAGCGATGCTCACGGCTTTGCACATTAGTTACCGCAGACTAACTACAGCGTGGATTTACAGTGGACCGCTCCCCTGTGCTAACCCCACGTGCGCACACGTGCCCACTCACATACTCCAGAGAAGAAGTTAGTTCCAAGCAGTTACCATGTTGTGAAGTTTCTTATGGTGTGCAGTAGATTCTCCATGTAGACAAGCCCTCAGAAGCATTAGATTTGGTCTAAGTTTGGGTTGGTTTTTTTTCAGGAGATTGGTGGTAGGGAGCAGAATTGCCCTGAAACACCTTATTTCTCAGTGCAGTCTGTATTTCTAGGTCCCAGGCTGTCGGCTGGAGACAACAGAAGGGCTGGGGAGTGCAGCTCTTGGCCATGTACTTGTGCCCGCAAAGTTTTGATAAAAGAGAGAGGCTCAGCTAATACGGAGCCAATGGATATGGCCAGAAGCCATCTACAAAGCCTGAATAAAATAACAGGCGATGAAACTTTGCATAGTCTGGGTGGCTGGAGAGAAGACCAACCCCAGTAACAACCCGCGGCAAGGACAGGGAGAGGGGGAGGAAGAGGGGCTGGGGCTGGAGGGAACGTGGTGGGATCGGATCCCGCGGGAAACAGCCGAGGAGCCGCACGGTATGGAAGACGTGGTGGGGCGTGGGGTACCTATAGGCAGATCGGGAGGAGCAAAGTCTATTTTCTTGTTATGTTAAATATAAAACATTAAAAAATAATACGCGTGGAACTTGCGGAACTGACGCCCGTCAGCTCTGGGGATGCGGGAGATTTTCAGAGATGCAGAAGAGCGTGTGAAGGGTGCAGGGACAGGAGCAGGGATCTTAAACTCCTCTGTGCCTCTGAAAATCTCCTGGAAGACCCTAAGCTGAAGCTCAAAAGGGTCGGGGAGATGAGCACTGACAGTGGCGGGGGCTGGATCATGCTGAAGCTTTTGTGTGATGGACATGACGTGACATAAATGTGCAAGTGGGTAGAACGGGCTTTCTGTGCCTTGGTACTGCTGCTACAGATTAACCAGGCTCTTTTCTCACCTCCACTAGTATTAATCTCATTTTGGGTGCACAGAGAGAGAAATGTGTGGGTTCGCATAGAAAGCATTATTTTTCCTTCCGTAAAAACCCCACCATGGGATTGGGGTGAGGAGGAGCCCGGCGTCCTCATGCAGCAACATCCTGCTCTGCCAGCTCTGAAATCTGCCCTAAGTGATAAAAGAGCTTGTAGGAACAGACATGGAGAACATTCCCAAAGGCATGCAAATGGTCATTGTCTCTTTTTTTTTTTTTTTTTTTTTTTTTCTCAAAAAAAAAAAAACCCCCCCCACCTCCTCCAGCTTTTGCGGCTGCGTTTTGTTTGGAGCAGAGCCATGGTCCTGCTGCAGCTCTGCTCTCCCTTCTCCTCCGTGGAATAGCTCTCAGCTCCTGATGGCAGTTTGAGCTTTGGTTTTTTTGTAGAGACAGAGAATTTGATGATTTAAAAACCAACAACCCCCCAAAAATTCAGTGACTTGTGCCAAAATTCTTAGGACTCTTCAAAATGTCCTGTTCTCGCCTTAAATTTTTCTTTTAAAATAAGCTTCACTCTTGAAACTCTCTCCTCCTCTTGTACTTTAGTTGTCTCCCCACTCCGTGAGTTTTGCTGGAGGGGAATGAGGTAGTAGATTTCCCCCTTCTCCTCTCCACTCGGCGTCCGATGTCCTTTCCCATTCCTTCTTGCGATGTTTTTTATCCCATCACTTGTACAAACTCATTTCCAAGAGGCGGTGAAGTAGAAGCATGCGTTCCTTCAGACGGCGCTCCAGAGCAGGCTGTCCAGGGCTGCCCACCTACACTGTGACAATTTTTTGTTGCAAGGCTGAAAGTAAAAACCCCAAAAGGAAAGTTGTCTTCCTCCTCTTCGAGGTGTTTGCATGCTAAAATGTCTGTCTTCTAGGAAACTGTAAAATAAAGAGAGTCTTAGGGCAGCTTCCAGTAGTTACAGATGTTTCCCTTATGCTCTTGGTTTGGGCTTTGTGTGTTTCTGAGGTTCCCATTTGCCTGAGCTGCGTGCTGGTCATGCTGGTTTTAGCAGGTGAGTTTGTGTTTGGGAGGTTCCCCAGACATTTTGGGACTGCACTTCTGGGCGGGTTGATCTGTGTCCTTGGACCCCTTTGGTTTTACCCCGCTACACTCTTCCAAACCCACCACAGCCTTTGCCAGGGTTAGACCTTACGTTGCACCCAAATTAATTGGGTGCACTATGGGAGAGCACAGGGAGGACTTTCCATTCTGGTCCTTTGAACAGTGTGCGTTGCTACTGCAAGGAGCATGTTCTCCAAAGTGTTTTGCATGTGTGCGTGCAGCTGGCGATGGTCAAACCTGCCTGGACCGTGCAGGTGCTTAGTGCCCTACTGCTGCAGGTGGGGTGGGAATGGAGCACCGCCTGCTCTGGGGTGGTGGTGGGTGGTGGGCAGGTCAGTCCTATAAACTGGGCTGGAGACAGGACCCCTGTGAGGTTCCTGCTGTACCTGGGCTGGGGAAAAGAGAAGGAGATGTTACCTCTGACGCTGAGTGAAATGTAGAGCACGATGATGATGGTCCCCAGGATAATGGAGACGATGCTGAGCAGCCTGGCCATGCGGCCGAGTCGCCGGGCTCCATCCATGTCCCCTTGCTGCCCGCTGTTCCTTGACTGGGGGGGAAACACAGAAAGAGGCTCTTGAGAACGGCTGCAGCTCTGGGGTGACTCTCTGGCTGTAGACCCCAAAACGAGAGCTGCTGCATCAGCTGGGGAGCTGGATCTGCCATCCTGGGCTCTCGCAGGATTCCATGTGTATCACCTCTGCGAGCCCATGGCTTTGACAGCCTGTGGTCCTGCTAAACTGATGTGCTTCTAGCCCACCTGGGATGCTGTTCTGCTTGCCTTGGGTAGGAGCTGAACTGGCTCAAGTCTCTGTGTTATTGGAATGACTAAAAAATAGCCCCAGTATGGGACAGTTTCACTGTGATTTCCCCTATTGAGTTCTTTAGGCAGCTCAGCGAAAGCTTTCCTCTGCTCTGTAACTAGAAGAAAGGGCTCCCTGGCTGTGCCAGGGCTGAGGATGTGGACTCATTAAGGGATGAAGAGAGATCCCCAAGAGTTGGAGCTAGAACAGGACTTGCCTGGCATTGATGTTGGTGGGCACTGGCGTCTTAATGGGAGGCTCTCGGTGGGATAAATTCATAGAATCATTTAGGTTGGAAAAGACCTTCAAGATCATCGAGTCCAACCATCATCCATGCCCACTAAACCATGTTATGGAGTACCCCATCTACACACTTTTTGAATACCTCCAGGGATGGTGACTCAACCACTTCCCTGGGAAGCCTATTCCAATGTCTGAAATTGCAGCGGTCCTTGTCCCTGCGAACAAGTGGCAACCTAGGGTGGATGGAGAACACAACTTGGCGGTTCCCTCGGAAACTTTGCTTTTCACTGCTCAGTCAGGGCTGGCTGCCCATGGGCTTGGCAGAGTCCCAGGCCCTGGGGGCACCTCCGGGGGGGGGTTAGTGAAGCTTCCCCAGGGTCTGCCCTGCAGTGCTGCTGGGGCCACAGCTGCAAGGGGCTGGGTGGGTTGAGCAGGATTTGGGCTCACACCCAAAAGACATAAGATGGGATGAGCATGGGCTCACCAAGACCTTGCCCGGTGCCTGACGGGGCAGCGAGGGCGATGCTCTGGCCTGACTCCTCTGCGCTTCAGTGCCAGCTCTCTTATGCTCGGCAGCGCTGCTGACCCGCTGGGCGAGAGAAGCCTGCACCTATGCCAAGCACACACAGCAACCTGAAGACCAAGCACAGCTCATCAGAAAAAGTATAATACGCAGATGCATCGTAAACCTTCAGAGTAAGCAATTAAATAAGGACCAGTCTTGCTTCTTGCTCTTGTAATCGGCAATCGTTGGGTTCCCAAGTGAAAAATACTGCACGTAAGAATTCCTGGTGAGGGAGAAGCATTGCTGCTGAGAGAAGAGCCCAAAGTGCTCCCCAGCCTGCCGGAGCGAGTGTGCTGGGCTTCCTGCACTTGGCTGAAGGAGGACCTAGCACTTAACAGATGGGCAGCCGCTCACTACCACGGCGAGGTTATTATGGTGAAATTACTCACCGTGCGTCAGCATTCGCTGCATGTGTGGTGGAGAGGCTGGAGCCCCTCCATCAGCAAAACAGGAGCTCCCTGCTCGGGAAGAGGCAGACGGTCTGCGAGTAGCACGGCTCTCCGGACCAAAAAGCTTTCCCAAATTCACGCGGCGCCCTTCTGCCTCCCGTGAAACCCATTGGGAAGGGGTTTTGGAGGGAGGGAAATTGGATAAGGAATTTTAAAGTCCAGCAGTAATGTTTTTACCTGGTTGGGAAGGCTTGGAGTGGGGGGGAAGGGAAGCAAGGCAGGGAGTCCGGCACCCGGCTCTGTCACCTTGATCCCGTGGAGGAGTCAGGCAAAATTCCCCTCGACTTCACTGGGGACGGGGTTTTGTAGATAGTTTAACTGCCTTGAAGCAGTTATTCTTTCTTTAGAGAGGCTTTTAAGTATTTAACATTTTTTACAGGGGTTAAAGGCTTCTTCCCCTGCCCCATCCATCTCCAGCCATGCTGCCTCAGCCAAGCCAGGTCTCAGGAGAAGAGGGAGATGTGGGGCAGGTTGTGGGGCTGGCAGCTCCCCACAGCCCTGTACCATGTGCCGGCTCCTTCCTTTGGAGCGTGGCTGCTAAAACTGGGGAAACTCCAAGTTAAAAGAAAAAAAAAATTTAGTTAAAAAGAGTTAAAGGTGGACCTGTGTTAAAACAATCCTGCTTTCCTTTCAAAAAAATGTGTATCTCTGAAATAACTGTGCTGGAAAGGGTCCCTGTCAACTGTTTAAAAAAAAAAAAAAGAAAAGTAAGAGTCAGGAGGCCTAGCCCAGCACCAGCACTAACTGTGAAACATCACTGAGAATCCAAACAAACAAATACTTGATGTTACTACCCCCTTTCCCGTTCAGCCTTCTTTAATACCACTACCCTCTTGGCAGCACCATGACCAAAAGGCCCCCAGCCCCAGCCTGAGCTGCGCGCTGGGTGCTACTCCGTAGTGCTCGGGTAGGTAAAATGCAGCTTTAAATGCTTCCACGTACTCATTTTCATTTGTATCGCCACGTAAATAACATAGCAGAGCCTCAAACAGACGGTTGCTTCCACTGCATCCCTGCAAACGTCCTGCTCCGCTCACGTGCCACCCTGTATAACGCCATCCCCACCGCTGACGCCAGGAGAGCTCAAGACCTTGTTTCTTCTGGTCTCAACAGCACATTTGACAGACCGTATCTAAAAGTGATGGGATGCAGCCAAGAGCCTATTTTCATTACAGAACAGGAGGTGACAAAATGAAGCCTCATGGGCTGGTGGCGAGAGATGGGGAGGACGCAGCAGCCCAGGGACTGACAGGATCCCTGCCCTGCTCACTCACGGCTTCCAACATTTGGGATTTTTTTTTTTTAGGCTCCGATTTTTGTAACAAGTGTAGTATTTTTGCAGGGTGGGGGTTAGATTGCAGTGAAATACACCATTTTAGCTGTCTTCTACAGAAAATATATAGGCTAACAAATTTGATATATTTATCACTGCAGCTTCTGGAAGTGTTTACTGCTCATTTATCCTGAACAATTATGAAAAATACATCAGCATTGGCATGGGGTGTTTAGCAAGCATTTGTTACTGTACATATATTATTCATTGGTGTGGAACGGTTTGATTATAGCTCTCTAGTATCACTAATCCTGTGTTTTGCTTTCCACATAAAAACATTAACATCTTGTTTATTAATCGAGACTCGCCGAGGCAGAGTATCTCAGAAAGGCTTGAGGGCTACGGGGGATTGAGTCACTGTGCGCCAAGGGACTCCGTATTACAGCGGAGTATTAGAAAATCTGAAGGACCCTAGAAGTGGGGCTGGAAGGGCAGGCTGTACCGCAGCACCCACGGGGCCAGGTAAGTCTGCGTGATTCAAAAGAGTTATTAATCGTACCTGTTTTCAAACTGTTATCTGTTCAAGTTGCTGTTCAAAAGGGGTTTTTTTGTCCCCTAATAGATCACCTAAGTTGTCTTGTTGCAAATGAAGGCAATTACTTTTCTGCACTAGTCCCAGGGACGGGGAAGACAAATTGTCACCTCCTCTTCCCCGCAATCTTTCCCAATTTATGAACTGGCTTTGGATGCACTCTGCTGCCTTCCACCAGTTACTCAGAATAAATCATTAATCCTCGACACTTGCATTTTGTTGAAGAAAACATTCAGAGAGAGGTATAAGTCAACATCAGACTCGGATAGATGACTGCCATTTGAAATGAGTAAGGATAGTTTGACTTCTCCCACATCTTTCAGGAATGATAGTACCTATTTTGGACACCAAGTGCTGTGCAGAATTGCCCTTGTCATTACTATATGCTGCTTCTGGCTGGATTTACCTTTCTTTTTCACTTCATTTAATTTGTCTGGAGTTTTGTATATGGGTAACTGACCGCTCTGCTTCTTCCCCCAATGTGGCTGCACTTTGGTAGGAAGGGGAAAGGGTTTGATAACAGCAATACAGTGCGTGCCTGTGGTACCCGGCCCTGCCCTGCACTTCTCTGAGATGGGTCCCGTGGGGCTGTGCTGCCTTTGTGTCCATCAGCCCCACTCCCCGGCTCGGGGAGAGACCCAAAAAGCCCTTAGTGCAGCCAGGTCCTCGCTTGATCAAGAAAATGCATCCAAGGGTCAGTGGAGGAGCCTCCAGGTAACTCGTTTCCACAAGACCAGCGTTATCAGGAACAGGCTGGGGGCTAGAGCAGATTTTTTTCTTCTCCACCTCTGGCCACAGGCCCTGCTGGAATCTGAGAGCAGCTTTTGAAAAATGATTTATGAGACACTAAACCCAAAAGCATTCATTTGCTTTCCTCTCTGGTTGATGCTTATTACCCAGAAAAAAGCTTTCATGTGCAAAAAGCATTGACTTAGGAAAGAAAAATACAATTGCAGAGCTAAAGGAACATCAGCACATTGTGGAAAGGTCCCCCCTGCCCCCCCCCCAGGCACCGGGAATCGCGAAAACCTGGTTCCTGCTCAGATTTGTGTGTGATCAGGCACTCCTGGGTTTTATTCTGTGGGGAGACCTAAGCCTGTGGGAACCTCAGGGGTCACTGGCAACTAAATTCCTGCCTGGTGTAAGCAGGTGAAACGTCAGCTGATGCCCTGAGAGCTGCTCCTGCTGGCAGGAGGACCCAGGCAGATGTTTCCTGGCTCCCCAGGGCCAGCACGGAGCAAGGATCACTCCTCGTTCTGCTCCGCTCCGCCGTGCGGGGGTCCCTGGCTGGCAAAGCCGGGGAGGGGGGTGATGGTGGTGATGGTATAGGCATGGCCAGGACTAGAAAGGGCGGTAGCAAATTAAGTGTCCCATGGGACAGGGAGTACAGGGGCGACTGCAAAGGGGCCAGAGGATGCGCGCTGGCTATTAGTGTGCCGTGTGAGCTAGAAACCTTGTCCTGGAGAACAAGCTCATCCGAGTGCGCCTTCTGCTTCGGTGGCCGCAGAGGGCTGGGGTCGGGCATCTCCTTCCCCAGCTCTGGGTGGGCTCTGGTGAGTGTTGTCCAGGGCCTTGGAAGCAGAGGGCAGCCAAATAGTCTTATTGCCCTGTTGGTCCTGCCTCCCTTCGGGTTTAACACAGTAAATACGCACTGGTACCTCGCTGTCTAGCAGTATGAACTGACTCCTGCTCTTTTTTCACTGTTTACTCTTCTACTCCACGGGGCTTATGTGGCCCAAGGTACATCCCCACCGCGCCAGAGGCTCTAACGCCTGCAAGGGAGAGTGTGAGAATCTATTTTGCATGAAGGCTGATGTGGTTGGAAAATCCCCGTGAGAGACCTTGTTTATTACCATGGATATGCAATACCCAGCTGCTTCCCCTCTCGTTGCAGTGCAAAGCCAAACAAGGCTGGCTGGCTTCCCCGTATGCTGCCTGAACAGGCTCTGCCACACAGCTGTACCACGCAGATGACAGCTGGCACTGGCAGAAGTGATGATTCCGCCTCAAAATGGAAACTGGTCTCTCTAGAGGGCTTTCTGTGGCAACTGCTGGTGTCTTTCTTTGAGTTCTTAGTGGTTTTAGGGGAAGTGCCGGCTGCAGGTGCCCCTCAGTGTATTTCTGTGTGGTAAGCAGCTAATTGCTTTCCCCGAGCTGACTTCCAAAGAAAAGATTTGCCTCCGTTGCAAATCAAGGGTATAAAAGGTGCCTGGGGGCTGTACAGCCGTGGGGCGTCCTGACGGGTAAGGGGGTGGCCGTACTTGCGGGGCCGTGCCGGCCGAGCCACCCGTACTCGAGACGGGTGGAAGGCCGGCTGGCTTTATTCTCCCCTGCTCTGATGTTGGTGTATTTGCTGAGGTGTGAGGGATGTTTAATGGAGAAAAATTGCTTCTTCAGGGCAACGAAAAGAGCTGCAGGTGCAGCCTGTCCCTTTGAAGCGTCCGAGGACAGGAACCAGCCCCCAGGCAGGGTCTCCCCAGTGCTGCAGGACTGGGCTGGGCTGCTAGGAGATGCGGAGGGAGATCCCTTGTCCTTGCTTCGCCTCCCAGCTCCTTCCCGGGGAAGCCCGGCGAGTCGCTCCGGACCGCTGCCTGCCTCCAGGGACCGGCTTTACCGGAGCCCCCCGGGCTTCCCGAAGCCCTGCCCTGGATCATCCCGCATCCCACCCCTCCCTCCCCCAAAATCCATCTCCATCCCACCGCCTCCCCGGGGAGCCGTCCCGGTCCCATCCCGCTTCCACCCACCTCCCTTCCCCGGAGCCCGATGGAAGAAGCCGGCAGAGAACGGGGCACAACCCAACCCGATTCCCGCGGGGGCGCTCCCGGT